GAAAGAAGGAACAGATGAGACCTGGGGGAAGGGGTGGGAAGCCACTAAGCCATTAAGTGTCTGAAAATATTTATTAGTCCCGGTGGGGCAGGGCTTCAGTGGGGACTGTGGCCCGGACAAAGTCCGCGCTTGAGAGGTGTGATCAGAAGCGCAGTTGCATGAAGGACTCTGATGATTGGGTCTTTAAAGAGGCATTGGCAACATCACAGCAGGTCCTGTGATGGGAAGATCTTCAGCAGAACCAGGGTCACCTACAAGGAGACAGTGCTTGGAACTAAATGTTTTCTCTTGCTGAAGCTTGCATGAAGATGATTTGATATGATTCAAAACAGGTTTGTGGACATAGCACGCATCCATTCTTGATATATACCAACTACATAGCTTTGCCCCCTCTTTTTGTATTTACTTGTGTACCTGCACCAGTTTGTGGACAGAAATCACAGAAAAAAATACTAGTATCATGTGCGTTTGAACAGAAGATTGCCTGCAGAGCAGGCAATTCTCTGCCTGTATCCTGCATGTCCTCTTTTTCCAATAGGTGAAAGGCATATTGCATTCTCTCTACTAGTTTGAGTAAGAAGCTTAAGCCACATAATAGAAACATAGGTCATTCAATTAGCATTGATCTTTTTTTTTTTTCTGTTACTCCTTGGGCATACATTTGTCTGCATATATTTTCCCTGTATGGTGTTAATGGGAAGGAAAAAAAGATAACCAGCAACATGGTTAGCAGTATGCTCTGTTATCCTATTCCCTTGCGTAGCTTCTGTTAAGCCAGGATGCAAGTGGATGAGGAGAGGTGCTCTTGGTATGAGGATGTGTGTGCAAGGGCCCTTGGTGTGAGGCATGCGTCCTGTGCAGGGAGATGCTCCACGAGGCACCTTCCAAACACTTGTGGTTTTCTCTTGTGTTCCAGCTGCAAAGTTACTGCGCCTTAATTAACTTTCTCTGCTTTTTGAGATGAGAAGGGGTCAGGGCTCCAGGTCTGCCCTTGCTTAGAGAGTTGGGAAGCGCTGGCCTCTGTTGGTGCCTGCTCAGGATCACAGCGGATGTGGTGCCCCATTTGTCCTTATGTGTTCGAGGCCAGAATGTCTCGTGGTCGGCTCCTTGCGGCCTGTTGCAGGCCAAGGAAGGAGCGCGGCGCCAGGAATGTCACTGCTGCCCACGCCTGGGGCGTTCCCACAAGTGTCCGCGGGCAGTTCTGTGCAAGCAGCACTAACTCTCTCAGCGACTCCAGCACCAACGAGCAACTACACATAACAGGCTACTACACAGAACAGAACAGTTGAGGTTGGAAGGGACCTCTAGAGATCACCTAGTCCAACCCCCCTGCTCAAGCAGGGAATCCCCCACAAGGGACCATCTCCTTTCTGTGCTGTAATATGCAACGTTAGGAATTGACACTAACTGTACTGCTCCAAGTTACTCAGAGCGCTGGTGTCACTGGCAGTTGGTGGTACACATGACCACCCAGATGTGGTCCCAAACTTTGTCGCATACATGTTAATGAGGTTTTGAATTTTTTTCGATCCGTTTAAAGTACTATTTTCTATTACAACCTTTGTTAGATTTGAAAGCTCTTAATATTCATATGCTGAATAATTCCTGAGAAATCTGTTCAACACTTGAACCTTAACTGGAACATTTAGTACTTGCTTGAAATTTCTCTTTGCAAATAATTTGTTTCTTTGGATGCAAAGGGCAGTAGAAAGGCTTATTAAAATCTTGTAGTAGCATTTGTGCACTGGTGCTGAAAACATCCCCCCACACAAATGTTTTATCTGTGCGTGCGGGAGCTTGGGGGACATCCGTGTAGCCGAGTGAGTTCCCGCAGGATTCAGGGCCACCCCGGAGCTCGGGAGAAGTGCAGACCTGCCCACGGAGCAGCAGTGTCTCAGTGCAAGATGGAGGGGCTGCAGACTGTACCAGAAAACCGAGAAATACAACTGCCCATTACCAAGGCGGAAAATGATTTAACAGTCTAAAAAAGTCTGATCTGGGGAAAATAATATCTTTGACACCCTATGCTTGGAAACTCAGATACTGACTACTATTTTTTTTAATAGAACTACTTAGGAACTGTGAATAAGAAACTATAAAAAGTGTAAAGTAATTTTCTTGAGTGAAGTTCTGATCTGGAATCTGACTTAGTAAGAACTATTAGAACTTGCAACTATTTTTTAATTAGGAATGGGGTTCTAGGTTCATATCCTCAACTTCTCTTGAAAGAATATTTCATCTGGTCTTTCTCCCTGTTAGCCAGAGCCCTGCTTTTCTGTGCAAGGTTTAAGCGGCTTGCCTGGGCATTGAAGAGCTTGGGTACACGCAGTTGTGCAAAGGTGTTTGGACAAAACTGCTCCCTGTGGCGCAGGAAGGCACCAAAGGGCTCCCTGAGTCCGGGCTGGCGCTGTTTGGGGCGCAGCAACACGGCACCCGACCTTCCCAGGGCCTGGCGCGGGGGGGTTTCACTGCTGCAGTTCGTTCCTTCCTCTACTGAGGTGCAAGAGGAGCCCTCAAACTGCTCCACAGACAACCTGTGCCAATACCTTCTCTCCTGTAATTCTCTTTATAATTTTGATTATGTAGAATGAAATACTCTAGCCTTTTTAAAAAAATATCCCCATACTGTAAGATGTGTGTTTGTTATTGAGTGGTAGCTTGGCAAATTAAAAGCGGCTCTTCCATGCGTATTGACAAGGTCAGTAATTCTCTCCATGGAGAGTTTTTGAAAGAAAGAAAGACTTGTGTCTTTCTGCTGTCCTTGCTCCTCCATCTTTTGCTTTGTGAAGCAAGCTTGTTAACTAACGCATGAGGGGAAGCTCTTTGAGGATGTTTCCCATCCTCCATTGAGGATGTTCCAGTTGCTGTGTGGATGCTTCTTGCAAGAAATGAATGTCACTCTGGATTTTATTATATTATTGAGTAGATGAGTAACAGGGATCAAAATTACTACAGGAACAGGCAGCTGTGACCAATGCTGAAACATATTTCACCAATGCTGGGATTGTGAAGGTAATAATTTAGTAGACATGAAAATAAGAAGTTTCTTCAGCAGATGGCAAACTGCTGTTAGCATGGCAGGTGAATTTATAGCTGCTGTCATCTTTAGACACAGAGCATGTTCTTGAAATTCAAGCAATTCAAAATGGATTTCAACTGCTGTATCATATGAACTAAGAAGCTCTGATGAGAGATCCTGTAAGGAAGACTTTTTCCTCTTTTTAATGCTTTCTGTTATCTTTGCATCTCTTTTTCTGCTGTATCTTGTACTCTGTAAACATATTCAGTTATTGATGGCATAGCTCAGAGGGTGGTGATCAGCGGTGCAGAGTCTAGTTGGAGGCCTGTGGCTAGTGGGGTCCCCCAGGGGTCAGTCCTTGGCCCAGTCCTGTTCAATTTATTCATCAATGACCTGGATGAAGACACAGAGTGCTCCCTCAGCAAGTTTGCT